TTCGGCAGCCCAACCTTGCCCACAGGAATAACCTTCACAACTGGGGCAGGCACTGTAAGACTTTGCAGGGAGAAGAGGAAAAAGTGACCGAGTGCTCCTGCCCACCCCGCCTTACCCGCAGCGGCTTGCAGTTTTCCCTAACATAGCGGCCAGCGGAGGTGTTCTCATCCCAGTCCAGGCGGCCGTGGTAGAAATATTTCTGTTTCCTGTCAAGAGTGAGAGGTGGGAAAAGGTTAGACTCGAGCAGAAAATGTCTTGCAGCAACAGCAAGGCGCCAGCCCTGGCAGCGCACGCTACTTGGGTCACTGCAGCAGCGTGGACAACCGGCCCAGCAGGCAGCTTCAGAGCTCAGTCCCTCAGAGAGAACCGCTGCACGTGAAGCAGGAGAGGGCTGGCAAGCCTGCAGCGCCCAGCCAGCCTTGCTCACCTCGTCTTCCGGATCATCCGAGAAGGAATCGGCCCCAAGATCCTCTCCATCATGGCCAGGTGCTCCCGGTTGTCATGCGTCTGAGACAGAGAAACATTAAAGGGAAGGCACGGAACAGATTCCGGTCATTCTACCTCCAGCCCTGGGAATTCCCCTGTCCAGAACCCCCTTGCTGGGAAACACCTCGACCGTCTCTACAAGACTGCGGTGATGGAGGGCAGCCCATCGGTCCCAGAGGCTCCCGGCTGTACTGGGAAACAGCCAGCATCCTCTTTCATGGGTTGTGGGGTAGCCATACAGCACACAGTTCTCACCTGAAACAGGGTGAAACCCACATAATACTCAAAGATGATGCAGCCAATGCTCCACACATCACAGGGCTGGCTCCAGCCAAGCTCTAAAAAACAATGTTTTATAAACAAAAGATCCAGTTACAGCCTAAGATTCCAAATGCCTCTCCCTCGCCCTTTTAAAACCAAACAACTAACTGGAAAAACAATTCCCATTCTAGCCAGGCTCCGGATACACTGGTGGCAATATACTGCCAAGCTGGTAGCAATGCCAAAACACCCAACTTACACATTGTTGACCCTCCCAGAAAACAGAGTAGAGCATGTTAAATAAAGCAATTCTCAGCTCCCAGGGTAAAACCAGGACAGCTACTGACTGACGTGGAGGCAAAACACTCCTTAACGCGGGAGGCAGCACCCAGCACCCTCGAGGCAAATGCCCGCCTCTGCAGAAAGACCTAGCGGTACCTACCCAGTATGACTTCTGGGGCCCGGTAATGCCTGGTAGAGACAATGGTGCTGTGATGCTCGTGATCAAACGTGGCACTCCCGAAGTCCACGACTCTGATGGCTGTGCTCTTCACGCTCCGTTCGTCCCGCTTCTTCGCAGAGGAGAACAGTGTCAGTTACTCAGGAGCTCCGAGATGCAGACGCAGCCCCTTCCTTCCACCAGGTGCCACGGGAGGGGAAGGCTCCCGAGGCAGGTTAGTGCTGGCACAGCCCCGCAGCACAGCCCCCAGACAACTCTCACCCTCGGGCAGATGGGCCTGTGGTCCCTACAGCTTACAGGCGACACAGGCCCTCCGCACAAGTGCATGAACATCGCGGCTCAACCCTGTGTTGAGTCTCTGGGGGCACACTCTGACCGCCCCACCTGCTGCTAAGGTCGGGGATCCCCAGAACCCAGGAGAAGGGCTCCAACATAGGGCAGCGCTGTTACCTTTTCCAGGTTGTAGGAGAGCTCGTAGTCAGAGTTCACAAAGAGGATGTTCTCTGGCTTGAGGTCGGTGTGAGTGAGTTTGTTGTCGTGCAGAACTGAGGAAGCAAACAGAGTCCGGTGACGGAGCAGAAGCCAAATACGGCTGCACCCACCCAAAGCACGAACATCCTTAATTCAGTTTGCTGAATTTGCATTTGCATTCAGTTTGGCCCACACTTTGAACCGGGTGTGAACTGTCAGGCCAGTCCAGGCCAAGATGCTTCAGCAGAAGCACAGAGATTCACCACATCCATCACCAGAACGTATGTGTGGAGGTGGATGCTGAAGTGCCCTGAGCTACTGCCAGCCCACGGGCATTGGAACACACTACTGTCGGGAACAAAAAAGGATTAATTCCAAGCACGCATTCATGGCTGGAGGGGCGGGAAGGCTGTCTCAGAACTGGCACAGCAGTACCGCAGCAAGAACTCGCTGCTTTGGGCCACCAGCTGCAGAACTGGCACAGATGTTAGGAGCTTCACAGCTCTCCAGGCCGGTCAGGCACAGAAAATCGGAGAGAAGAGCAGGGAACACTTACATTTCACGGCCTGGCACACCTGGTAGGCCATGTGCCGTACTTGGTGGATGGGGTAAGGCAGATAGTTGTTGTCCTTCAGGAAATCAAAGGTGCTGAGCCCCAGCAGTTCGAAGGAGATGCACATGTGACCATGGTAGTCAAACCAGTCAAACATCCTGACACAAAGACTGGGAAAAAAAATTCTGATTCAGGACAGACCTGCATACACCACTCAGCTATGTCATCCCTGCAGCAGGCTCCTCCTTTCCTTGCTCCGTCTGCATCCCATAGCAGGCCAGTATGCCTCCAAAAACTGCCTACAGACGAATCCAGTCACACAACACCAAGTACCTCTCTCATGCCAGCCCTGCGACTGTGCCAAGGCCACGCTTGCCCTCCCGTTTTAACACCACGAGCACACTCACTTTGTGTTCTCAGGGTCCTTCTCGTTGATTTTCTCCAGCACGTTGATTTCCAGTCGAGCAGCCTCTTTGTATTTCTCGACGTTTTTAATGATTTTGAGAGCAACACGTGCTGCGCCCCTGGGGAGGAAAAGGAAGAAAGTGCAAAATCACCTCCGAGCTGGGTCTGAGAGCCTGTGCCCTGCAAAAAGGGCCTCCTGAATCAGCCTCATCCTGTGAATTGAGCAGCACAGCCGCCCACCACCCTCACCCAAGCCAGAAGGCAGCTGTTATTATGGGGTGTCTGCCGAAGCACTGCCTTCTCCCTTCCTACAAACAGTCCTGAGGGTCCCCCACCCCTCTCCAACACACAGGTGACCCAAGAGGGCGAGCACCCAGACCAGCAGAGGAAAACTGTAAACCAAGAGACTCATTTTCACCCCCAGGCCCCCACGTTAAGCACGAACGGCTCGGTCGCCAGCTGCGGGCTCTCTTTTTCCCTCCCCGCCACGTCCCTCCCTGTCCCAGGAGCAGACGTACCTCCGGTGATCGATGCACTGCACCACTCTGCCGAACGTGCCTTCCCCTAAGGTGCTAATAATCTCATCTGGGAGGGAGAGAAGGAGAGGAAGGCGGATGAGAGCGCGAGCACGACCTGGCTGCAGCGCATACACAAGGCAGAGGAGAATGCATTGCAACACCTAAACCTGCACACAGCTGGAGAGACCGGCGCAGCGGAAGGCCGACACCGGCTGCACAAGGCAACTTGCCCTAGTTCCCTGGCACTTGAGTAACAATACAAAATATAAACGTAGCTTTAACAAAAGGGGAAGGAAAAGGAGAGGGTTGCTCTTTAATAAACAATGAAAATAAAATGAAACAGAAAGATAAGACAGATCTGCGACTGCGATGGGAGCTTAACTAGAGAGCTAAATTATGTTACGATTTGGCTGTACATCTTTCTTGTAGCCAGTCGCCGACGCGATAGATCAGATGCCCCTCGTCGTCGTCCTCCACACTCTTGGCCCTTCTGCTGCTCTGTCGACTCCGCTGCTGGCCCAGGCAGACAGGGAATTCATCATTCACCAATGAGATTTTCAAACCAGCGCAGCAGCCAGCGTCACGCATTGGGTGGTTTGGGAATTCACATGGTTGTTTGAGGAGGGGTTGCAGGAGGAGATTCCCAGCCAATTCATACGGCACAGAGGAATATATAACGATAGGGATATTGCAAGGGAACATGTCAAGATACAACACACTAGCTCAGAAAAGAAAAAAAAAACAGTTTGCTTTTCGTTGTAGCAAAAAAAAGAAAAAACAAAAGAAAAAACAAAAGAAAAAAAAGAACCTACAAACAGCCCCACCCGAACCAGTGTGAGAGCAGAGACGTCAGAACGAGCGGAGGGGCAGCGGCACAGTGGAAGGGGCCGGCCGCTCTCGCTCCTAGGGGGGCGTGGAAAGGAACAGCACTGGCCTCCGGGTCCCGGAGCACGCCAAGAGCACGCCGAAGCACAACTCTGCAGCCGGGCGCCCGGCGG